CCGCCGTGTGGTGAAAAGAAAGAGGTGCAAACAACTCATCTCCATACCTATTTGGTCCTTAGGAAATCGAGTACCAGAACCTGAGGTTTCCAGTAAATCTGTCAAATCCATTTGCTGTGGCAACCGTTTTAAACCAAGAACCTGGAAAATTGAAGATTAAAGAATTAAAACAAGGTAATCACATGGTCTGCCAGTCCCTGGGGCAGATAAGAAAGAACTCTGTCTTGTCACCTTTATCATAAATGAACAAAATCCCAGTCAGATGCTGAAACACTGCACCGCTAGAAACTTGTTTTCGTCTGGGCAAATAACTCTGATTTGATTACTGCCGTCATCTTTGTTTGCTCCTGCCTCTAGTCCTGGACCAGAGTGACGAAATTTCCAAAACAAGACAGATGAAGGAGGCGCTCTTTGAACAGAAAGTAAGGCAGAACATCCAGGAAGAGAGCCAGAATCAGCTCAAGTGGTAAATATGGGAGATTATTCGTATTGATAAATATAGGGTGACAGGGTGGCTGCTTTTAGCAGACGCCCACAGCGATCTGCAACCAGTATTACTTCTGGTGAATTCAATTATCTTTCTCCTCCGAGGGTCTTTCTATTTCACAATGAGTGGCAATTAGGAATAAATTAATGCAACCAAAATTATGTTTCCTACACGTGACCAGACAGGGCACGACCGCAGTGAATTGTGGGAGAGTATTGGGTCCGTCCTCCCTGCACTGCTGTCAGGTGTGGGGTGACTCAGGCACCCCACATCTCACCCACGATCTCTTCTCTCACTATGACCCCATGTGCCATGTACTGTTGCCCCAGAAACCATCTTGGAGGGGAGGGCCGCAGCTGGGGGTGGGCATGGTTGAAGTTCAAATACGAACGTTCTTGTGTTGAGATCAAAACACTTTTTACACTTGTTTAAACTACAGCATACCGTGAGCCTAGCCATGAGTTCAGACCCACAAGGGTCAGTGAAAATTTACATGGGTGATTTTTTTTAGAGGACTATTTGATTTCTTAGAACAAATATTTAAACTTTAAAAATTACATTCATTTCTTTATTGGGGGGAGTGCATGTGTGCCACAGTACACATGTCAGCGCTGTCCTTCCACAATGTGGATCCCAGAAACTGAAACTTAGGTTGCCAGGCTTGGTGGCAAGCCCCTTTCCCCTCTGATCTATCTCACCATCCCCTATTCAACCTTTTAAACTCTTCTAATCCCCAGCTTAAAACAGATAACAAATTAATACACAAGCCAATAGTTTAAGGTTTTTGTCACAGGTTTCTGTCACTTATCAGATTTTCAAGGTTCATCATATCACAACATTCCTGACTAGTTCATTCTTCTGTTAGCATTTATATAAGCTTTTTTTTTTTTTTTTAGAGGCAGGGTCTCTCTGTAGCATAGTTGGTCTGGAACTCACTGTGTAGACCAGACTGGCCTCAACCTCACAGAGATATGCCTGCCTCTGCCTCCCGAGTGCTGGGATAACAGGCATGGGCCACCATCCCCAGCTTTATATAAGTTTTTGTATAACGTCGTTTTCATTTTCTTAGTTATATATCCAAGAGCAGAACTGCTGGGTCACTCTACAGTATGCCTTTTGTGGACTCACTAAGTTGTTTTTCATGGTGAACACACCACTTTACATTCTCACCAGCAACAGAGTTCCATTTTTCCATATCTTCAGCAATACTAGTTTTGGTTAATCTGGGCAAACTATATGGTCTTAAACACCCAAAAGGAAAGTGTAGCCAAAGAGTCCATGTGTATAGCTAAAGGCTACATAACAAGAAACAATGCCAGATAGGAGATGCCTTCCTTTGAGTTGTTGGCCAGGGTGGCCCAAGAGACTCCCAGACAGTAACCCAGCATAGAACTGAGAAAATGAACAGCAGACCCCAATCTTACCTAAAGGAATGTTGGCAACTGATTGCTGCTAGATGAGGAAGAGCTGATCTTCCTAAAACAAGGAACTCTAGATAGGTTGACTAGACTCAGTGGATGGACTAGCACTGGGGAATGGCTGGGGGCACTAATAACACAGTGGACAGTAACAGGGATGACAGAGTATATGGGCTCCAGTGGGGTCGGGGGAGGCTATGGGTGGGTGCCATTGGGGATGCAGGTATAAAGATAAATAAGATTGTTTGGGATGTTCTGTATGAAATGCACAAAAAAATTAATAAATTAAAAATGAACTGTATTTGAGGAAGAAGCATAAAAATTTGCTTCATTAATTAATAACAATTCCCATTGAAATCTACCTGATGACTTTATATCCATGATTTTTTTAACTTCTCATAGCTAGCTTAGTGTGTATGGGGTGATACACTGTGCAACTTTGTTCCATATTCCCATGATGACTACGATGACTACTGATGCTGGGTATCAGTGTGTGTGTGTGTGTGTGTGTGTGTGTGTGTGTGTGTGTGTGTGTCTGGGTGTGTGTGTGTGTGTATCAGAGGTCAACCTTGGATGTTGTTCCTCAAGTACCATCCATCTTGTTTTTTGAGACAGAGTCTCTCACTGACCTGGTACTCACCAAAGTAGACTAGGCTGACTAGTGAGCCAGCCCAGAGGACCACCTATCTCCACCTCCCCAACACTGGGTTTATACAACATGTGCCTCCATGCCTGGCTTTTTGTACCTGGCTCCTGAGGATTGAACTCAGGTCCTCATGCTTGCAAGGCAAGCACGTTACTGACAGCCAGCTCCCCAGCCATTGTTTTATTAACTCACACATACTTTAGCATGAATTAGTAGAATCACAGGACATGCTAATCGCCAGGGGGTGGCTTCCTCTAACTTCTCCCCATCCCTTCTTAGTTAGAGAACATAGCAAACACACTCCATGTTAAAGTCGATGATGTTTACCAGACTTCTGGAAGTTGTCTTTTTTCCCCACAGGCAGGTGCACCTTGGTAAAGATCATATATCACTTAAATTTAGAAAAGATCTCGCTGAGGAGTGGCACAAAGCACACGAGAAATACAAGGTCAGAATGAGTGCTAATTTTATATTATTCGTTATTCGTTTCACTAAGCCATTTTAATTCCTGTTGTATGCAAGATGCCAAATCAGGAAAGAGAAAATGCATAGAGGACTGGAGTACAGGTGGATGGTGGCGTACCTGTATAGCACATGTGAGGCCCTAGGTTCAACTCCCAGCACAGGAGAAGAGAGTGAGAGAGTGAGAGAGCAAGAGAACAAGAGAGCAAGAGAGTGAGAGAGGAAGGAAAGAGGATTGGAGAGAAGAGAGGAAGAGAGGGGAGGGGAAGGGAGGAGAGGAAAGGGGAAATGCATAAAGTTGGGAAAGGAGAAGGAGGCTGATGGCACACAAATCACCAACTGTAGGTCAAGGGTGTCTATAGATGCTACAGGAGGCCTATGCTGGGTCTTCCAGGGAATTCAGGAACCAGAGAAGGAAGATAACTGGAAATCAAGAATTAGCAGAGAAAACAAAGGCCTCAAGCAGAGGGAATGATTCAAAGTCAGGTTGTAGCTCTGGGCATGATACACACCTGCCCCATGGCCTACAGAACATGAAGCCACTCGGAGCTGGATTGCGACAGAAGTCCATAGAATGAAATATCAGTTGTAAACAAGAATTAAGCGCTAATCTATGCCCAGGAGCATGGGACATGTGCAAAAGACATGGGCTAATCCTTGGTGACAGAAGCATAGGTCAGGTGTAGATGACACTGAGGACCAGGCAGTGATGGCAGGAGCATGGGACAGTTACAAAAGACATGGGCCAACCTCTGGTGACAAGAACATGGAACAGCTGGGTGTGGTAGTGAGCATGAGACAGGCACAGAGGACACTGGTAATCAACAGTGATGCCTGAGTCATAGGACATACTGGGCAGGAGCAGACAGCACTCAGCCAAGCCTCCATGGCTAGAGACATTGAATTTGATTGACAGGTCTTGCAGAATCATCACACATTGCATTCATCTGCTTGAGTCTCTGTAGCTGAGTTCTGGCTGGGCAGCCCCAACAGGAAGCTTCCAGAAATCCAGGGTTGGCAGGGCTGGCTGATGCTTATTGGTCCTCTCTCTTGGCTCACAAACAACTGTTTTCTTTCTGGGTCTTCATATCATCTTGTCCTTGTGTGTGTCTGTGTCCTGATCTCTTCTCATAAGGACGTCAGTCACAGTGGTTCAGGACTCAGTAGAAATACCTCATTTTAACTGATCGCCTCTTTAAAGACCATCCAAATACAGACACATGCTGAAGGGCTAGGGTTAGGGCATGGATGTGTGAACTGTGGGGAACCTACTTCATGCCACAACAGATAGGAAAGCTTAGCAGTGTGAACCTCAGAATGTCAATGAATAGAGGATGCAGATGTGGACATTTTTATAGGATTTTTATTTTTAATTATGTGTATATGTGGGGGGGGGTACATGTCAATGCACTGCCCTCAGAGCTCAGACTCCCCTGGAACTGGAGTTACAGGTGGTTGTAAGGGCCCAATGTGGGTACCGGGAGCCAAACTCCAGTCCTCTGCAAGAGCAACAAGTACTCTTACCCACTGAGCCATCTCTCCAGCCCCATGTCCAATCTTCTGACGTTGTGATATGATGCTGTCATCTATAAAATTCACACTTAAAAACTGAATAGTCAAATTACACACAAAAAAACCTCCAAAAAATCTCATAATGTTTCAAGTAAGTTTACAATTTTGTGTTTGGCCACATTCATAGCTTCCCTGGGCCCATGTGACCCACAAGCCATATTTTGAACTAGTCTAGTAGAAGAAAACAAGTGTCTTGTCAGGTCAGATATCATATTTCATTTTCTTCCTAAATTTGAAATATAAACCAGACATTTGAGTCAATGCATCTAATTTTTCATAAGACAAAAGGACATAAAACTCCCACATCTTCATATTTGGAAATGACATGTATGAACTGCTGTTTAACTGTAGCTTTGTGTTCTGTAAAGTTTCCTTGAAAAGCTATTTTAAAAATAAAATATCAAGTACTTTTTTATCAAACTCACCATGGAATAGTTGAGAGAGAGAGAGAGAGAGAGAGAGAGAGAGAGAGAGAGAGACTCATATAGTCCAGGCTGACCTCAAACTCACTATGTAGCTGAGGATGACCTCACTGCCTCCAATTGCTGAGTACTGGGGTTACAAGAATGATGCTCAGATTAATCATTTATTTTACAAGATCTTAAGGGCCAGTGAGATGTTCACTGGGTAAAGATACTTGCTGTCAATCCTGACAACCTGAGTTTGGTCCCTAAAACCTACATGATGGAAGGAGAGAACCGATTCCTGCAAGTTGTCCTCTGATCTCCACTGGCACATCATGCAACAACAACAACAACACACACACACACACACACACTCACACACACACACACGATAAATAAGTAAATAAATGTAATTTTTACAAAAAGACCTTGGACTGGAGATGTCACTCACTTGGTATCCTGAACTCTCGCCTAGAATTTGGGAAGCCCCGGGTTTATTTCCCAGCACCAAATAAACCAGATATGGTGGTACATGCCTATGATCCCAACACACATGAGGTGCAGGCAAAAGGATCAGAGCTTCAAGATCATCCTCACCTACATATTGAGTTTGAGGCCAGCCTCCCCACATCTAAACAATAAGAATGAGTTATTTAACCTGCTATGTCTCCACCTCTGCCAGCCAGAACTCCATGGGTGGTTTAATCCATTGTTCAGTAGGTTTCCACAAGTTTTAAAGAGAAAGTTTTATGCATTTGTCCTCGACTTTAATGAATCTGGTGATTTAAAAACCTAGCTAGACCGAGGAGATCCTATTTTGGATGAAGAGTTTCAACGACTCAAGACAGACAGGACCAATAAGCGGATTGTTCGAGAGTTGGATGAGGTGGGTGCCTTCTCTTTGTTTGGAATCTAATTGAAGTGGTAGTTCTTTAAATGTACATTTTTAAAGATGCTAAATAATTTTGTGGAAATTTTTTCACCAAGAGGCAACTGATGGGCTTTTTGTTTTTTTAATATTTTATTTATTATTTTTATTTTATGTGTATGTGTGTATTGCCTGCATGTAGGTAAGTGCACCTGTGTCGTGCAATGCCCACAGAAGACAGAAGAGACTGTGGGATCCCCTGGAACTGGAGTTATGGACAGTTGTTAGCTGTCATGTGGGTTCTGGGATTCAAACCCAGGTCTTCTACAGGAACAGTCAGTGTTCTTAACTGCTGCACTATCTCTCCAGCCCCTAACTGATGGTTTTTAATGTGCTTATATTTTCAGAGTGCTATTTTATTATGTATCTTAGCTTCCTTTCTGTTGCTGTGATAAAACACTCCCAACAAAAAGCAACTTAAGGGCGCTGGAGAGATGAGCCAATGATTAAGAGCACCGGCTGCTCTTGCAGAGAATCAGAGCTCAGCTCCTAGCATCCACATTGCAGTTCACAATAGCCTGGAACTCAAGCTTCAGGGGATCCAGTGCCCTCTTCTAGACTCCACAGACACCTGCACTCACGTGTGCACACCTACACATACACATAATTAAAAATCAAATAATTTTTTTAAGCAACTCAGTGGAGGAAGTTTATTTGGCTTCCACTCCAGGTCAGAGTCCATTATTAAGAGAAGTCAAGGCAAGAACTTGAAGGTGGGCCTGCTTGCTATTCAACACAGCACTACTTCTAACCTTGGAACCCATGTCACAGCCAAGGAAGTACAGCAGGAGCCATGGTGGATGCTGCTTGCTAGCCGGCTGGCAGGCAGGACTATACTCAGCTAACTTTCTTTTTATAATATTTATTTTTATTTTTAATATTTATTTTACATGTATGTGAAGCACATGTGTGCCTGGTGCCCAAGAAGGCCAAAAGAGGGCATTGGATCCCCTGGACTGGAGTTAAATGTGGTTGTGAGCCATCTGATGTGGAACCAAACCTGGGCCCTCTGAAAGAGCATCACATGCTTTTAACCACTGAGCCATCATTCCAGCCCCATCAACTAGCTTTCTTATATAGTTCAGGACCACCTGCCTAGGGATGGTGGTGCCCATAGTGGGCTGAACCATCCTACAATCAATTTAGCAATCAAGACAGTCCCCCACAGAGGTGCCCGTAGGTCACTCTGATCTGAATGTTCCCTCAGTTGAGATTCTCCTCTTGGGTTATTCTAGGCTGTGTCAAGTAGACAGTCAACATTTGTAAGTTAAGCATGAAAATTTGTAATTAATAGCTGGGAAGATGGCTCAGTAAAGTACTTTCTTTATAAGCATGAGCACCCAAGTTCAGTCCCCAGTAACCATGTAAAAAGCCACGGGTGATAGAATATCCCTATAATCCCAGTACTGAGGATGCAGAGACAAAAGCATCCCTGGGTCTCCCTGGCCAGTCAGTATAGTTAAATCTGTGAGTTCCAAGAGAGATCACAGCAAGAGACCCTGTCTCAAACTTGAAGGTGAAGAGCAATTGAGGAAGACTCCTGATGTCAATCTGTGGTCTCCCTCACACACATGTGCACATGTACTTGTACACATGGATACATACATACACACAACCCCTTTAATTATTTTCTCTGAAATTGACAACTTCATGTACTGTGGCTCCTGCTTCTGCTCCTCCACTTCCTCTTTACTTTTCTCTTTCCATTGTTCATGTGTATGTGTATACATATTTGCAAGTATGTGGGCACACATCTGTGTGAGTGCATATGCATGTGGGTGTATGTACATGTGTGGAGACCAAAGGTTGATGTCAGGAATCATCCTCAATCATTCTCCAACTTATTCATTGAGGCAAGGTCTCTCAATCAAACCCAGAGCTCACCAACATGGCTAATCTCATGAGCCAACTTGCACTGAGAATCTCCTGTCTCCACCTTCTGAGGTTGGAATTACAAAAGGGCTGCCATACCCACCCAGCATTTATGTGAGTTCTGGGGATCTGAAATCTTGTCTTATAACTCTGACCCCCAACTCCAGAAACATTCCATATAATGTTATATGCACTAAAAGTGCTTAATAATGCTCACTAAATAGCACAAGGGACTGGAGAAATGGCTCAGTGATTAAGAACACTAACTGCTCTTGCAGAGGACCTAGGTTCAATTCTCAGCACCCACATGGCAGCTAACAATTGTCAATAACTCCACTTCCAGGGGATCTGACGTGATCTTCTGACCCCTGCAGGCATTGGCTTCATGGGTGCACTTACATACAGACAGGCAAAACACTCATACCTATAAAGTTAAAATAAATCAGAACATTTTTTCTTAAATAGCAGAACAAATGAATAACAACTTGATTTGTGATCAAATTCCATATATTTCATGTTTGCTTTTTTACATTTAGTTATTTATTCATCTACTTAGGAGGAACATGCTTACAGCATGGGCATGGAAATCAGAAGACAACTTGTAGAAGTCAGTTCTTTCCTTCCATCATGTGGATTCTAGAAATAAAACCCAAGTTTGGTGGCAAGCACCTTTATCTGCTGAGCCATTTTACTGACCCCTGCTTTTTATTTGCTTTGATAGAGTCTCCTCAACCTCAGGATCCTCCTGCCTTACCCTCCTGAGTGCTGGCATTACAGGTGTGCACTACCACACCCAGCCAGGGATCAAACCCTAAAATGTTTTGTTAAATGCTTACTCCAGTTCATATTTAAATGTAAGATGTGCCTCTGTTTTATATTCACAGAAAAGCCAGGAGTTTCATCCTAATTTTGATCCACTCATTAATAATATGTGGCTCAACAGATTCAGGGCACAAAGACGGTTCCAACAAGTAGCACGCAAGGTAAGTCTCGGTATCAGACTGCATTTTGACTTGTTTAGTTATCAGCACAGGAAATCAAACAGTGACTTTTTAGGAGTAACATATCTGAAATGCAAATACACATCATAAAAATCACCTTCACAAAGTGTCCTGTTGAGTACATGTTCTAGTTTCATTGCTATTGCTGTGAAAAAAAAAAAAAAAACACTGACCAAAAGCAAATTAGGAAGGAAAAAGGTCCATTTGATTTCCACTTCCAAGCCACAGTTTATCACTGATGGAAGTTGGGGCAGGAACTCAAGCAGGAATTGCAGCAGAAACCACAAAGCAACACTGCTCGCTGCCTTGCTCTCTCATTTGCTCACCAGCTCATGCTTAGCTAGCTTTCTTACAGAGCCCAGAGCCTCCTGCTCAGGGAACAGGTGCTGCCCCACTGTGGCCTGGGCTCTCCTGCATCAGTTAATAATCCAGACAATCCCCCACAGACATGGCCACAGGCCAATCTGAACCGAGCCATCCCTCAATTGAGACCCCCTTCTCAACTTACTTTAGGATGCATCAATTTGACAGTTAAAGCTAACTAGGACAGTATGTTTTTCATATATTCACAGATTTGTTCAGCCACCATTGCTATTAATTTATTTACTTGTTTATTTATCTACTTATTTTTTTTTGTCAGGATTTCTCTATCCCAGGCTGACTTTGAACTTACTATATAGTCAAGGAATTCTTGATCCTCCCACCTCCACCTCCTGAAGACTGCAATCATAGGCATGCACACCACACAGGGTTTACACAGTGCAGCAGATGGAACCCAGGGCTCTGAACATGCTAGGCCAGTACTCTACTGACTGAGCTACACCCCCACCCTGCTATCTAATTTTAGAACATTTTTATTACCCAAAAAGGGACTTGGTCTCTGCCCATTCCCTTCCTCCCCAGCCCTCAGGAGCCATTAATTCACCTTCTATCCTGATGGATTTTCCTTTATGGACACTTCATATAAATGGAATCATACAATATATGGTCTTTTACTTAATATCTCTTCAAGCTCCTTGGTGTTGTAGCATTATCTCACATTATTATTATTATTATTATTATTATTATTATTATTACTGATACAGGTCTCAACTATAGCCACAGTTGACCTGGAACTCACTATGTAGATCAGGCTGGCCTCAATCTCACAAAGATCCACCTGCCTCTGCTTCCTGAGTGCTGGGATTAAAGGTGTGTACCACCATGGCCAGTTTATCTCATCCCTTTTATTCTGTTGTTTGGATAGATCATATTTTATCTATTCATCCACTGATGAGAAGTCCAGAAGTTTCTACCTTTGAGCCTTTCTGAGCAAGGATGCTATGAATATTCATACCCAAGTTAGTGGACACATTTACTCTCTTGAGTCTACATACCTAGGAGAGGAATTTCTGGGGATCATACAACAAGTCTAATGCAGTGGGATCTGGAGTAATTATTTCCATAGAGGACTGACACTCTTAGAGTCAGTCTGACACAAGGCTCATGACTCCCCTCAAAGTGTCACCTCCTACTGTGACTCCACCTCAAGCTGAGCTTCTACCAAGCACATCCTCAGTCCCTAGGCACTTTCTCTGTTGTCAGGATGAAATGAAGTCTCTGCTGGGGCTGGGAGATGTTCAGTTGGTTATGTGCTCACTGTACCAACATGAGGACCTGAGTTTAGATCCCCAGGATCCATGTAAAAGGCCAGGCAGAACTGGGGAGGCAGAGACAAGAGTATCCCTGGGGCTCAATGGCCAGCCAGTGCAGTGAAATCAGAGATTTCCCGGTTCAGTGAGAGACCTATTTCAAAACATAAGGTGAATGGTGATTGAGGAAGACACTTGATAATGACCTTGGGCCTCCATAAGCACATGCATACTTGCACACACACATACACACACACACACATAAGAACATGTGCATATACCACAGAAAAAGGAAGGATTGAAAGGAGGCAGGGAGGAAGGGAGACAGGGAGGAAAGAGGGAAGAAGCCTATCTCCAGCCCTCTAATGGCAGTAGAGGTGTGAGGTACCTGTGGTCTGGCTACTGTCAGACCTCTGCCTTCTTTGTCGACCCATCCTTATCTTCCAGGCCATCATGCTTATTCCCCTCTGTGCACCTGTATTTCTGCTCTTCCCCCTCCAATCCAAATGCCTCTCCATCTCCACTCTATGTTCCAGTCTACCTGTCCTCTAAAGAACAATCCTTATGAGCTTTAACACTGAAGGACCTGCTCAGCACCGCTGACGGCATCTGCCTGCACTCTCTCATCCCTTCCTTTAAGTGTGACTTCCCTAGAGGCCAGAGCCATACCTCATCCAAGGGACAGCAGCAATAGGCTTGGTGTGTTAGCTTTCCATAACTGTGATGGAATACCTGACGTAATTAACTTATGAGGAAGGAAGTCTATCTCGGCTCACAGTTTCAGAGGTTTCAGTGCACCACTTTTGGGCTCATGGCAACATCATCGGGAGGAGTGCCTGAGAGAGCAAAGCTGCTCACCTTTTGGCAATCAGGACAAGTATGTATCAATTTCTAGCTCCACGTTGTTCTTTCCAATTCCAGGTCATGGTTAAACGACGGTTACTCATTATGCTTGAGGCTATCCGTGAAATGGACAAGGAAGGAATAATGAGAAAGCTCATTCAAACCAAGAAATCTCTAATACAAGGTAATTCACAACAGAGGGCATGCAGGGACTGTGATATCCCTGAGCCCCAGGTTTCTCTCCAGTGAACTCAGCTACTTGACATCAAATCATGGCACAATTCCCACATGTTAGTTTCCTGTTGCCAGGATAACAAACGATCACCAACTCAACAACTTAAAACAACAGACATTCAGGACTGGGGAGATGGCTCAGTCAGCAAAGCACTTGTCTCATAAGCATGAGGACCTGAGTTCAATCTCCAGAATCCACATTAAAAAGCTGAGTGCAGTGGTATATGCTTGTGATCTCAGGGAGGTGAGATGGGAGGCAAAGACAGGAGGGTCCCAAACCTCCCTGGCTGGCAAGCCCCACCCACTTGGTGAAATTCCAGGCCAAAGAAAAAATAAAAGATGCCTGAGAACTGACACTCATGATTGTACTCTGACTGCCACATGCACCTGCACACGCATATACATGTGTACATATATGAACACACACACATGAACACATCCACACATGAATGTCATAGCTTGTGGAAGTCAGGAGTCTAAAACCAATGTGTCAGTAGCCACACAAAAACCTTGTGGAGGCTCCCCAGAACCTCAGTTTCCTTGTCTCCAGCTGCCCAAGGCTGCCTGCTTTCCTTGGCTCCTGAACCCTTCCTCATGTTACTCTCCTCTCACCTCCTCTAGCAAGCCTGTGATTTCAACAGGCCCACCTGGAAACCCAGAATAATCTGGCCATCTTGGAAGACCTAACTTCATTACATCTGTTAAGCCCCTTTCTCCATGGGTAGTTGCATATTCTCACACCCCTGGGGAAGGGTATGGACAACTTTGGCTGCCATTATCACACCTGGCCCAGCTCTCCATGCCACCTTTGGTTGAAGTACCTACCCAGATAGTAATAAAGATCTTCCCATTCCAGACCAAGATGTAGCACCTATGGCGTGACCTTTGCTGTTTGTCACCAGTAGAGACACAAGAATACTTGTCATTTCTACTTGCTGACAGATTGAATCTAGGATATTCTCAACCTAGCCTTTGTCTTTACTGTTTAAGGAAATTCTGGTCCTTGGGGCTAGGGACACAGTTCAGTCAGTAAAGTGCTTGCTTTGTAAGCATGAAGACCTGAGTTTGAGCCCCAGAAGCCACATAGAAAAGCCAGGTGAGGCAGCTTATAATCCCATGCTTCTTATAATCACAGAGTTGGGGAGGCAGAGGCAGGAGGATCCCAGGGGCTTGATGGCCAGCCACTCCAACCTACTTGACAAGTTTCAAGATAATAAGAGACCCTACCTCAGAAACCAAGTGGACCTGCACCTGAATAACAACACTTGGGGTCTTCTGGTCTCCACACCTGTGCACCCATTTGCACATACATGTGCACCTGTATGAACACAGACAACATACGCAAAAGATAGAGAAGGAGGGAAGAAGGGAGGGAAGGAGGGAAGGGAGAGAGAGCACAAGAGAGGGGAGAGAGAGAGAGAGAGAAATTGAGAGAGGGAGAGAGAAGAACAAAAAGGAGTTTTGACCCTGTGGTCCATAGGTTGGCTGGAGCTGTTGCAGGCTTACTTCCAGTCACTTCTGAAAACTGAAAAGCCATGTCACAATTTTGTCCCAATACATGTATTTCCAGTCTGTGGCTCACACAGAGTCACAGACAGGCTGTACCACCCCATCCCCATCTGCTGTGCCTGCCTCCATCAGCCCCCACCTCTCTGCAGTAACCATACCTTCCTTTCCACTAAAACATACACTTTGCAGCATTTTAATTATTCTGTTTTCCTCCTGTATTATCATTTTATAATAATTTTTATAATTATTCTGATATTGCAGTTTCTAACAAGGAAAATGTCTTTAATAATAAACTTTACATCCAAGTCATAAGTGGTTGGTTGCCCATAAAAAGCCTTCTAGAATTCAACCTTCTAATTCATCAGAAGTATTTTAAAGTAAGAGTTATAGTTCAGGGGACTAGAGAGATGGCTCAATGATTAAGAGCATTACTGCTCTTGAAGAGGATGTATATTAGGTTCTCAGCACTCATGTTGGGTGGCTCACGACCACCTGTAACTCCAGCTCCAGGGAATTCAATGTCCTCTTCTGTCATTATGAAAGGAGAGAAACAATTTACACAAATATGCCACAGTGGCGCACTTGCAGCTGGGCACATGTGTACATGTAAACATGCAAACTCATATATGAATTAAATAAGTAAGTAGGTAAACAAATTTTTTAAATACTTAAAAAGCACCTCATTCATCTCTTTCGGAGGAAATAGCTCATTATTTAAAGCCCAGCACTCAAAAGAAGGCAGCAGGAAGGTCAGGAGCTCAGGGCCAGCCTGGGTTACATAACAAGACCCTGCCTGTCATACAACAAAAAGCAGAAGAAATGGGGGCTGGAGAGACACTTCAGGAGTTAAGGGTAATTGGTACTCTTGCAGAGAACTAAAGTTCAGTTCCCAGCACCCATGTTAGGTGGCTCACAACCACCTGTAACTCCAACACATTCTTCCAGCCTCCAAGGGCATCTGTACCCATATGCATATATACTCACATGCATATACACTCACATGCATATACACTCACATGTACACATAATCAAATGGAAAAATAATTCTTTAAAGAAAAAGAATTATAGATTCAGAGAGGTGAATCTGAAAGTAGAATAGTGATTACAAGAGATCGAGAATTTTGTAGGGAGAGCAGGGAGGGGAAAGGAAGTGGGATTATGCACAAACACATATTAATAATAACTGAGTGAATTTTGGGGACTATAGAAATGGCTCAGCAGTTAAGAGCATAGACTGATCTTGCAGAGGACCCAGGTTTGCTTCCCAGCACCCATGTCCAGCATCCTAAGACCATCTGTAACTCCAGCCCCAGGGGATCTGGTGTCCTCTTCTGACCACCCCGAGCACTACACTCATGTGTGCAATCTTCTGCACATACGTATCCACATAATTCAAACTAAAAATAAAAATCCTCTTAAAAATAAAATAAATTTTTAAAAAGAGAATTGTAATTTTACAAGCAAAAATGAAATAAAAATTTAAAAACTAAAGGTAAAAGGAGTTAGGAATGTTTCTCAGTTAGTAAAGTGCTTACCACACCTCTAATTCCAGCCCTCAGGAAGTAGAGGCAGGAGGATCAGGAGTTCAAAGTCATCCTCAGCTTCATAGCAAGTTCAAGACCAGGCTAGGCTACATGGGACCCTGTCTCAGTGAGAGGAAGGGGGGAAAGGAAGTATGGAGGAAACACAGGTACCGAAAATGGGCATATATCTTACATGTGTATACATGCATATATACATGCATGAATATATAAATCTGAATTTTTAAGTTTATATTAACATATCTCCAGTTATACATAATAATGGGCTTCATTATTATATTTTCATATATGTGTATATTTTGATCATATTCACCCCCTTTACCCTCTCTTGTCCTCTCCCATTGATCCCCTGCTCTTCCCAACCAGTCCCCCTTCTATGTGTGTGTGTGTGTGTGTGTGTGTGTGTGTGTGTGTGTGTTTGTGTTTGTGTTTGGTGACCCAATGTATTTAATTACAGGAGTGTAGGCAACTCACCAGTGGCTATACCACTGAAAAAAATAAACATAAATACCCTTTGGAACATGGTATTTGATAAATATACAACTAAAGATGCTGCTTTCGCATAGAAAATACCTTACAGCCCAACTAAAAGTACTTTTCTGTCTTTCCCACACAGAGAAGAATCCCTTCCAATACCTTCGGTCCCGAGTAAGTCAGGAGTATTACCCGTGCCGCTTCTCAGTATTGCCTGAGGAAGTCCTGCCCTTTGCCTTCCCATCCTACAACACTTCTCAGAGCTACAACGAGTTGGTGGGTACCTCTCCTCTGTGGGGCCGGGCAAGCAAGATCACATGGTTACTGGGCAGATTGCTGGAAAGGCCCATCCTCAGTTTCTTCACCTCCTCTGAGAGGCTCCAAAGGAGACTTGTGTCCAGGGAATTATGAACAAAGACCAACACGGGGGCCTATACCTGCTGTACCTGCACTGAGCTCCCTGAAAACCTGGGCTCATCCCTCCCTGTCTGAAGCATGGGCATCTGCTTATTGTGGAACCAGACATGAAAGAAAATGGAAAGATGGGAGTCCAGAGAGCCCATGTGGCCTGTGGAGACAGGCTTCACTCAGAGGAGCCTGTGCTGTCTGGTGAGTGGGAGGCCAAGATGACAGCAGCAGATCTGGGCCTGGTCTACTAAGGAGGGCATGCAGCCCCAGATCTGACAAGCCAACCCATCAGGCTTGGAATTGCACCTCCCCACCACCCCTGTCTCTCTGTTTCTTTCTCTCATCTCTTCTTCCCTTATGGGCAGGATGATGCATTATAATAAAAATACTAGTTAATTTGGCTGAGAAGATGGCTCAGTCAGGGAAGTGCTTACCTTGCTAGCACAAAGACCTGAGTTTGATCCCCAGAGCCCATGGGGAGGCAGAGGTGGGGCTTGCTACTTAGCCAATCCAGCTGAATTGGTGAGTTCTGGGTGAAGTGAGAGACATTGTCAAAAGCAAAGTAACATTCCAGAGTAATGACATAGCCACTTTCTGGCCTCCACAAACATATGTATACATGTGCACCTGCATATACACCAACATGCACACACATAAATAATAGCAATAATAGTAATAGTAATGATAGTTATTTAACCCTTACATGGCACTTACCACAGTCAGGTCTTAAAGCAGGTGAGTGACATGATTTAATCTTTAACAAATTCATATGATAGCTTATCATTTTATAGATGAGGGCACTGAAGCACAGATCACATAATCCATCATAAAATGTTCATCAAGTTCACACTCACCTGGGACTAGTGAGATGGCTCAGCAGGTAAATGTTCTTCCTGCCAAGCTTGACTATCTAAATTTAATCCCCAGGGTCCACGTGATGGAAGGAGAGAACCAACTCCCTCAAGTTGTCTTTTGACCTGCACATGTACTATGGCACATGTGCCCACATACATGCACACTAAAGAAAAAAGGAAGGAAGGAAAGAATGAACCAACAAACAAATGAACAAAAAATTTAAAGCTACTAAAATTATTTCAAATGCATATGCAAAGTTGTCTTTTTAATTTCAAAGTAGAAACGTCATTCAGAGCCTAAAATTTACTGAGCACTGTAGGTTTTCTACTCAAGGATTAGAGAACTGAAGTTAGAAATTCCATGTTTTCTGCTTTTGGGAATTAACTGACTTATGTTAGAATGTTTAGTTCCTAAGCAATTAAAAAAAACTGATTTTCATACAAGAATAAATATCAGACTATAATTCCATTTATTATGTGTGAATATCTAGCAATAATTAACAGGTAAAAAGGGAAATGGATTGAGAATTGGCCATCACTCTGTTGTGGAACCCAGTCCTCTGCTTCTGAGTAGGATAAAGCTTTACGTTTCACTAGGAATCCAGTTAGCGCTACTGAGTTCCTTGCTGTTTGTGGTTAAAAAGTGTTCAGCACTCCTGTCCACAAAGGAAACTTTGGAACTGGGAATTTAGCTCAGTGGTAGAGCACTTACCTAGCATGTGTGAGGCCCTGGGTTCAATTCTCAGAACCACGGAAAGAAAAAGGAAGGAAGAAAGAAGGAAGGGATGGAGGGAGGGAAGGAGGAAAGAAGGAAGGAAGGAAGAAAGGAATTTATTCCATAAATAATGGGCTTCATCAGTTCTAAGAAGTACTTTCTAAACACTTAGCACCTTTGACATTAAGGCATCTCTTTCAAAAGATGGCATGTTAGCATTCCATCGTGTTAAGGGCAGACTGGGTCTTAGACAAGATGAAGTATGGTATTTGCTGTGTGTGGAATGTAGCAGGCCCTGCCCCAGGTTCTCTGGGTTTCTGAGGCAAATACCATACTAGAAGAGTTCTGGGGACCAGCATCCAAAGAAGGTCTATGCAGGGATGGGGTCTGGCCAGGGGATCAGGACCATGGTGCTTCTGGCAAAGGGCTCAGCTGAACCCCCAAGGAGTTCTGAAGCTGGCACAGGGTGAGAGGAGCTGACCTTTAAACTTTCCTTCAACCTGTCCTAAGATGCACACTGGAAGGTTGTGAGGTGGCTCCTTCAGCTTAGGCAGCTCCTCAGGAGAGCTCATTTCACCAGTTGTTTCTTTCAACAGGCTCCTAACAGCTAAAGTATGTAGTCCTTCAAGCCTAAAGGGGCTCTAGGGGTATATTAGAGTTCTCTAGGGGAACGGAACCCATAGAATAAATATATATAGAAAGGGGTCTTATTAGATTGCTTTATACAGTATGGTCTAGGTAGTCTGTCTTCACACTGGAGAGACTGAGAACCCAGTAGCTGCTTGGTCCACAAGCCTGGGTACCTCAGCAGTCCCAACCTGGTACTGAAGGTCTGGAGGATTCCTGGGGAGCCACTGGGCTTCAGCTCACACTGGAAACCCAAACAAACTGGGTTCTGATATCAGCAAAGGAATCCCACAGCTGCAGCAGTGGTAGTGGTGGCAACAAGGTAGATGAAAATGCCAGTGAGATGCAAGGGAAATGAGGCAAAAACAAAGCTTTTCCCCCAGACTTCCTTTTATCTGTGCTGCCACTGCAAGCAGCCACCCACATTAGGGTGGGTCTTCCTACAGCAAAGAACCCAGTCAAGAAAATCCCTCTCTGGTGTGCCTAGCAGCTTATCCAGATCCAGTCAAGTGATAACTAAGATGAAGTATCTGTGGGAACTCCAGGTGGTCTCTATGATCATTCATGATAAGAAGAGTCACACACACTAAGAGACGTAAGAGGGCAGCCAGGACTGCCTTTGTGGCCCCCAGATCAAGCAGCAACTGTGGTCACAGGAAGAGAAGTTCTGAGAGTAAAGCTGTTTGGGTAATAATTTGAAATGTAATGAAAGTACACTCATAGCTGTTTCTGCTCACAGATGCTTACCTGCTCTCTTGTTTCTCTCCTAATTTCCCCATATAGGCTCTTGATGGCCTTGGAATGGTCCCAATTAAACCATTAGACATTCAAATCAGGCACAGTTATTCCTTCTTCAATTTGAAGGTGAGACCTGTCATATAACATTAGTTATTCAAGTTCCTCATATCTATCTATCTACTTCTATCTCTCTATCTCTCTACTATCTATCTATCTATCTATCTATTGGGAGAAGGCATGTGTGCCCTGGAACATGTTTGGAGGTTGGAGGACAATTTGTGGGAGTCAGTTTTCCTTCCACCATGTGGGTCCTGGGGATTGAACTCAGGTCACCAAGCTTGGCAGCAAGCACCTTAACCCACTGAGCCATCTTTTCACTCCTTGGGTTTCCTATGAAGTGAATAAAATAAGTTGAATTTTAGTTACTTTGTTTTATGAGCTTTGCTCTGTCCTGGCTTCTATTGGGTAACATACTGTGTGTTTTTCTCTGTTATTTGATGGCATGTTAGTAGTACCTCAAATTCTTTTTCCCTTATGTGAATTCGGAAACCGTCATCTCTTCTCTGTGTGCTCCATGTGTTGTACATACAGGAAAAAGCGGCTCCACATCTATTAGAAACCTCAGGACAAAACCCAGCAGACACAAGTTAGTCAGCCTTTCTTAAAACACAGGACCACTTGTGCTATTGGAAATGAAAATATTTCAGTGTATGTCTCCAATGAGGCCATACATGTGGCATGAGAAAATAATTATAAATATTGGCATGTACCAAGACCCCAAACAAGGCTCAGGATTAGCCCCATCAGGGAGCCATTGTTGAGAGATTCATCCCACCAAACAGTGATGGGCTGTCATGTGACAGTTTTTAGGAGATGCTAACAAAAATCTATTCATCCCAGATAGAGCACCAATGAGAGACCAAACACATTTTTTTCACTCAATTGTAGTTTAGTGTACCAGTGAGTTTATCAGAGCTACTGACAGGTGCATGGGTAACTCTAAGACCGCTGTGTCAATGAAAACCCCACATCACTGTGATGTCACTAAAACCGCCTCCCTGAGTCCTATATGATTTGTGCAGACAGTCTCTTTTCCCAGCTATTGTTCACCTTGGGGAAGTGCCTTGTGAATCTTTCAAGTTTCATTTACTTCTTGAGTCTTAAGGAGCCTCCCTCCAGAAGGGACTGTTCCAATTTTAAGAAAATAGCAGTGGGTTTATAAAGATAACCAAAGCTAGGCATGGTAGCAACATACCTTTAATTCCAGCACTGGGAAGGTAGAAGAAGGCGAATTGCTGTGAGTTCAAGGCCAGCCTGGTCTATATAGTGAGTTCCAAGCCAGCTGTGGCTACAGGGAGACTGTCTCAAAAAGACAAAAAAATTTAAATAAGTAATAAGGGTAACTAATCAGCTATCTTCTTTCATTTTCAGGTTCCTCAGCTCTACAAAATCAAAGGATATAGAGCATTCTCTGTCAACCAGTCTTCAAAAACTTACAGACCTCATAAGCTTGCTCGAGCCCTGAAGCAAGGGGCTGAGGTAGCACACTGCCACCTTCAAGAACTGCTGCCATCTCTCCCCCTCGTGGCCCACCATCAAGACTAACATGTCACTCTTGGTCCTTCCACAGGATGAAGTCACCACCATCATAGCCCTGCCCAAAGAAGATGCCACACAACTCTCTGCCAAGCCCTCCATCTTGAGTATGAAACCACCAGAGGGCTTAGCCATGTCTGTAGAATATGATCCACTGTATGTTTTTGTAAGTATCAGCTGGCAGATGTCTGTGTTCTGTGTCCCTTTATCTCAGCAATTACCCTATATGAAAGCAGAAGCATTCATTGTAAGTTTTCTTTTTCACTGGTTTTTGGTTTTTTTATAATTTTTTAAGATTTATTTTTATTATTATTATTTATGTATGTGTGCATGTGTACAGGTGCCCATGGAGGCCCCAGGGAGGCATAGAAGCCCACAGAGCTGAAGTTACAGGCTCTTTTAAGCTGCCTAATGTGGGTGCCGAGATTTGAACTCCAGTCCTCATGATAAAGCAAGTACTCTTAACTACCGAGCATCAGCACTAGGTTTTTTGTTTTGGGTTTTTTGTTGTTGTTGTTTGTTTGCTCGTTGTTTGAGACAGAGTCTCATGTAGCCCAGGATGGTCTCAAAATCACTATGACCTTGAAGTTCTAATCCTCATATGTACCTGCCTATCTATCAGCTATCTATCTACTATATATCATCTATCATTCATTTATCTACCTACCTACTGCATAAACCAAGCATGGTGGTACATGCCTGTAATCCTACACTGGGAAGGTGGAGGCAGGAAGATTAGAAGTGTAAGGTCATTCACAACTACTTAGTACATTTGAACTAGCCTGGGCTACATGAGACACTGTCTCAGATAGAAAGATGATAGATAGATGATACACAGACAGACAGACAGATAATGGGTAGATAAATTGATTGCAGACAACATTGGGGAAAACATAGAAAAAGCTCCCTGGTCTTATTTACTTTCTTCATGATGTCTGTGTTAGAAAAGTAAAAGTGCTGAAGAAGCCCTAATTTGAACTGAGAAAACTCCTGGAGCTCCATGGTGAAAGTCAAGAGTTCTGGTTTTGGAGGCTGGAAGCAGCTGTGGGGAAGGATTCCCCTTCTGCAGCCCAGCCAAGTGCAGAGTCTTGAGACGAAGACAGGAAAAGTCTCTGCCTGAAGCTGCTGGTGGAGGTCTGAGGTTGGCTAGAGTAAACTGCTTGCCCAGGGCAGAATCCTTGCTTGGATAGGGGGCCTCTAGCAAGTCTTTCCTTTCTGATGAGCAAGTGGACTAGGAGCCTGGCTCTGAGATTTTCTGGTTTCTTCCTTCGGAGAGAAAGGCCCCATCAGGCTCTGGTGTCTCCTTTTAATTCCCCCATGGGCTCCCACAGGAGCTTGACTTTGCAGCCCCAGAACCCCTGAATTTATAAAGCTGCCAGGGTACCAGCTGGAACCTGTCTGGCTGTATGTGGGAAGGTAAAAAATAGAATCAATCAGGGAAAAGCTGACAAACCTGGTGGGGGGAGGGGACAAACCCTGAGTAGTCAAAGGTTTCCAGAAGTCCACAATCAGGTCCAATGGTCTCTGTCTCTCCAGGGGTATGAAAACGCATAAAAGAAAAGTTTGTTCCTGGTTGCTATGGCCACTTTGCAGACCACCCGCTGCTTCCCCCTGCTGCTTTCAGCGGGAGGGGCGTTCTGCTGGGGTGTTGGGGTGGGGGTGTTGAGGTATTGGGGTGTCTCTCTGCAGCTCCTTTGCCTTTGGGGCTTGAGCCTACTGGCTGTCAGAAAGCTCAGTACAGGGGGAGGTCGCCTACCCCCAACATCAGGGTTAAGTTTGTAACATCAGAGATAACAAAACCTAGAAATAAAGGGAAGAAATAGCTTTGGGATGAGTGACTGGAAGAGTGGCAGATGCCACCAGCTCATCATCACAGGCCCTTGCTGCCTGGTAAAACACCCTGTACATGCAGTGCATGGAGGAAATTTAAAACGAGAGCCCTCCTACATTCTGCTGAGACAACTGGTTCTGCTAGGAAAGTCCTTGTTTCATTACTTACAGAATGCCTCATTAGTTTCTATAATCAAACCCATATAGATAAAGCCATCACATTAAACTCTTCGTTCATTTATTTATTTATTGTTATTTTATGTGTATGAGTGTTTTGCCTGCATGTAGTGCACTATGTGCATGTAATACCCTCAGAGACCAGAAGAGGGTGTCAGAGCCCCTGGAACTGGATTGGGGATAGTTATTATCTGCCATTGGGTGCTGGAAACCAAACCCAGATTCTGTGCAAGAACAGCCAGTGCTCTCAACCATTAAGCCAACTCCCCACCCATATTAAACTATTACTATTATCATTAGGGAGGCACGTACACGCATGTGTGTATATGCACCATGGTACATGTGTGGAGGTTAGAGGACAACTTTGTGGAGTCAGGTCTCCTTCCACCTTAAGTGGGTTCAAGGAATCCAACTCAGATCACCAGGCTTGCAGAGCAGGCTCCTTTATCTGCTGAGCCATCTTGACAGCCCAAGACCTCTTATATATTTTTTTTTAATTTTTAAAAATTATTTATTTAATAACAACATACTTAGAAAAAGCATATCATTACAACACAATTGACATATTCAATAACAGTTTCCTGAGGTAGGATGCATCTCTTTCAAAATTGGCTGTAAATTTTTAGGTTTACAGTTGAATTATTACAGTTATACAATATTGTACTCAGTATAAACCCTAT